AATAGAGAACTTGATAGCAATAAAGAAAGTAGTAATTACGTACTCGTTTTGTTAAGATAGATTTCATAATCACACTTGTTAACATTGATAGACACTTTCATATCCTAGTTGATGTTTGTCTCCAGCAAATCTAATCTTTAACTTCCTACATTATTAATCTTTGAATAAAATATATTTTATCCTATATTATTCGTGGAAATTTTATTTTGTACACTTTACGTCAGATATCGATTGTTCTTCGGGCATTTTCGGAAATTTAATGCAAAGCATGAAAGAAATAAGGAGAAATAATGATGACATAAGCAATAGGTCTTATAAGCAATTCAAAAAAAATGTATAATGATAAAAAAAACATATAATACTCACGTCTGCAATATAACGAGGAGAGCTATGATAACGTTGAACGTTATTTAACAAACGTCTGAATCGAGAAGCGACTAGTTTACTACTGAGTCCGTGGAATACTTCAAAGGACGTGTCTTAATCTGTCTACTTATCTAACACCACTTAGCTTATAAGACGCTAGATATAGACAATCTGTCGCGAACGTACTGCATAGATCGTGAAAACAGTTGCGCGCTGAGGAAAATGCAAATTGTCACTCAAATATTTAACGCTCTATTTCGCTTTGTGCTAGTGCTTTTGTCATGTATTGTGTTGCAAATTTGCCATCCTCTTGCTACGATTTCCAAGAGAATATACGATCAAGGTTGATTAGAAATAAGTGTTCGATCAGATATCTCATCGCGCTGTATTTTCCCTCTAACAGCCAGATGCAAAATGTCCTTCTACGATAACTGCTACTATCATATCAATAAATTGCTTCTATCTATTACCGGCCAATGGCCGTATCAATCGCGATTGGAGGCTACCGTAATGTTAGCCGTTGTGTCGTTTTTCCTTTGTACTTTCACAATCTTAGAGGTGCAATGCGCAAGACGCTTATAGTGTGGTTCAAATTACCGTCACACGACGTACAATTTCATATCTTCTGATATATGCACTTAACTGTCACATTGCAAACAGCGCAGCTTATTCCATAGATTGTTACCATGCACTGAAAGATATGTGCCGCGAACTGAATATATCGTGTCGTAGTCAGCATCCATATCAGAAGACAGGAAACCATGCATCGTATGACGTTAGTTTCAATCTAGATTAGTCTTTGGGTATTCCCTCTTTTCTGCAGTTTTGGAGTCTAATAGCTGGAATAACGGATTTGAGTATTCTTATGGAGAATACGCCTCCTTTCCTGGTGTGCGTTGCCGTCATTTCGAAGTTGGGAAATTTTATCGTTAATAAGGACAAAGTTTGTATATTACTTAAGATTAAATCTAATAAACTGATTACACTAGTGATCATAAGTAATGAACATGAACTTCTTAAACCACAGATGAAGAAACTACTGGATTACATCGAGAAAGATTGGAATATGATGCAGGCAGGGCCGCGAAACAAAATATTACAACTCTACGCCGAACAAAGCAGAATTTTAACGATAAGATACGCGCGTGAGTAGTAACAGTTGTTTTATGACAATTCGAGAGCTGTGTTGTGTTTTCTAATGTAACGTCAGCGACATGAATTGTAGGATCATCGTTATTAATATCGTTCTTGATCTGAATGCATGCAAATGTGATAAACTCATCAAATATCATAAAACACTCTCAGTTTGGAAGAAATTTGTGTAAGAAATGTGGTCTCATTGCAGTGATCTTTTATGCAGCGTGGTTTTGCTACTGTACGATGCCATTCGTCTTCACTGGATTATATTTACTGTTGCCTACAAATGAGACCTACCCGCAAAAATTTCTGTTTCGCTTGGAACACGTCTTAGATATGGATAAATACTATAACCTGCTTATGATTCATGGCTTCGTTAGCGTGTTCTTCGTGGTATCATTGCCAATAGCAATCGACGGCATGTTCATAGTTTGCATTCAGCATGTTTGCGCACTGTTCGAGATTATACGGTGAGTTACTTTAAAAATCACGTATCTTGTTAAATCCAAAAATCACAAATTACATCGTAAAAATCGATCTTTGCATCCTTCCTTGTAACTGAGTATTTTTTATCCCTCTTGATGAATATTTTAAACTTTTAAAGTTTGAAAAAGTGTCCTTTTTATTATCGTATATTTCTATTTATTAGCTACAATATGAAGAATATCGGGGAATCAGATTATGTGATACTAAAACCGAATATAACTGATGACCACGCATATCATATTATAAAACACTGCATCAAAGTTTACAATCATTCCGCCGAGTAAGTAACAATGCTGTCTTTGGCAAGATACATGTCTCGCATAATTTCATTCAAAAGAAGAGTCCTGTCATGCATGTGTATACACTCCTTTGAAAAATGATTTGAACATGTTTTTTTTCAACGCATTTCAAAGCACCGTTGACATTCAACGAAATTTGTTTCCGAATGATTTTCTTAATTAGGTTCTTTTAGTGGATATTAGATATTTTTGGGGGGTGAGGGGGAGAGGAAAAGAAAGAGAAAGAAATACGCTGAAAAAATTGTTTTAACTACTTCGTAAATGAGAGTACATTTCATTTAGCATGTTAAATCATGCGAAATTTTCATATAATATTCATAACTTTGTTAATGTTATATAATTACATCTGATTAAATGTGTGTTTAGTCCACATAAACTAATAACATTAAGTTTACTGCACTAATATGAAGTTTGTTAAGTACACTAATATGACTGTTCCGTTGTTTTGCGGGAAGATTTTCAGCTTTGCTTTCGTCCTCTTTCGCAGCGTCATTCTTCTTTCTTTTAGGAATCGTGATTATAAATTTAAGTTTCAGCGCGGCCGAGGTAAGTATCCAATTAGTTGGCAATTTCGAAACAAATATTTATTGCCTAATTCCATATATATCGTTCAAGCTAATAATGGTGGACATCCAAATGGATGACTGTATCAGAATCATCGCTGCCAATGTGGCACAATTTGTGCATATATATTATTTGAGCCTTTTGAGTCAACAACTGATCGACTATAGCAGCGGACTTCACGAAGTAATGTATGTACCTACCGACATCATGGCGGGAGTATTTCCAGTGATAAAATAGTAACATGGTAAAAACTCATAAAATATTGTTTCTTACTCAATATTGTGTTTCATTAACAACATTCATGCTACTAGATATTAACACATCGACGACAAGATTTATTTGGGAAAAATTGTTGAGTATCGCTGACAGATTTCGAAAAATTGCTTAGATGATATATAAAGAGACAAACATCCTTCGCGCATATAAACTGAAACTTCAAGCTTAATACAATTTCCATAATATTATATTATATTATATTATATTCTTGTTATTATTGATAAATATTTCTTTAAAAGGTGACAACCGATGACAGGATAAAGTAATATATACTCAACAGCGGCTATCACAGGATAATATATAGATATTTATGCACATTTTGTTAAAAGAAAAATAGTGCACATTTCCTAAAAAATAATAATAGTACCGTTTTTTATTCCCGATATTCGTGATATGAAATGATATCGCGTGAAATAGAAACGTAAAAACTTTTATAAAAATCTCTTTGTTCTACCATTTCATAAATTTATTCGAATAATTTGAATAGAAGAATAAATTAGTGTCTGAGTGAATAAATTAGTGTCTGAGTTTTATAAAAATCTCTTTGTTCTACCATTTCATAAATTTATTCGAATAATTTGAATAGAAGAATAAATTAGTGTCTGAGTGAGTCAACAGGGATACTCAGAATAGAGGTTTGCGAATCATGATTTTGCGCGATTAACTCAAATCTTGGAAAGTATATTCGAATTCGAATTGAATTTTCTCAGTTTCAAAGTAAATCGAATTCCAATAAAATGTTGCTGATTTGAACATAACAAAGTATATATTCTTTTTTAAATCAGAAATGAATTTTTAATATAGCTGTGAGGAGGGAAAATTTTTATGTAGCTTTCTCTGAGGAAATATCTCATCATAAACGAATGCCGAGTTGAGTGATAGAAAATTCATAAAATTCAAATGATTTGCACACCTCTAATTCAGAGCACAAGAAATCAATATATCAAATGTAATTAACAGTTACAGTTGCAATTGGTACACGATTTCGTTGAGATCTAGACGATTGTTACTATTCACGTTATTGCGTACCATGAAACCGTGTCAAATAAGGGCTGGTAAGATGCATGTGTTATCAATGGAGAACTTCGCTTCGGTATGTACAAACGTAGCTTACTACTTCTCGACGTTATGTAGTTGTACATTTTGATGACGTTTTATTTTAGATCCTTAAGGTATCCATGTCTTATTTCACCGTACTCACTTCGCTACAATAGCTACTTACACTACTTAGAAGAGTACTGCGGAATCATTTTCATGAGTCGCATTTTTCCTATGATATGAAAGTATAATCGTGCCTTCAAGTCAGTGATGGAGTTTGTTTTAAATAGATATATATCTTATAATTTTACCATTGCAAAGACATTTGTATTGATTATTGTTTTTGTAATACATATGTTCATTGTATCTATATCTTCTACGTTATCTTGCACTCCTATTGCTTTCTTTTTTCTTTTGCAGTAAATTTCATTTTAGGTTACTATACGGTTTAAACTAAGTCTCTCTTTAGAGGATATTAACCGCTAAAGATGAGATAGCGGCGTACAAAGTCGCAAGTGATTACTCATAATATAATAACGTAGTATAAATTTTCAGATTATCCAGAGTCATAGAGTTCAGAAACTTAATTTTAAACGCATTCAATCCTATGATAATGTGCTTTACAAAATAATGTGTGTACATAATATACATGTGAGTCCGTGCGTCGCTCTTACCTGCGTTTGCACAGGACATTGTCTTGTCTCTTGTCTAGCACTCGTATTGCTGGTTGGTGTAACGGTTTATTCGCGCAGAGAAGATATCGTCTGTGCAAAGGTACAGATAAAATATGTTTTACCGTATCCAGTTTTACGTGCGCAGGTAAATGAAATTAATGCGAACGTAACATTTATTTGACTCAATGTTGTCAACTTCATATACTAATTCTTCTTATTATTTATAGAATATTTATATAAATTCTATATAGCAAGCGTTGTAATCGTAATGCGCGCGTTACAAAATTACTGAACAGGCCTGTTGATTTCAGTGCGGATTAAAATAGTATGTACACCACAGTAATTAGTAAAAAAAGTAAAAAAATTAGTAAATAAAGAGTGACGCTACTTGCAAACGTATTTATTATCACTAAAAAAGATAAACCCTTTGTTGTACGTAAATTTTAATAATGACATTGATTCAACCTTAAAGTTATTTTACTAATTAACGACCGTTTAACTATTCTTTTAATATAACCATCCAATTATAATGCTGTTACAATGGAACGATAATAGTGCAGACAACGATTTAAGTGATACGCATCTATACATGCATACGATTCGTCGTGTGCGTGTTACTTTTGCATGCATTTGGAGGTAAACATGTCTATTAACGTGTCTCTTGACCAGCACTGATATCACAGGTTGGTAATGGCTTGTTCGTGAAGTTACCATTCGCGCAAGTAGGCAGATAATGTACATTTTACCATAGGTAACTTTATGTAGGTAAGTAAGAGTGAAGGTGGTAAGAATAGCGATAAGAACATAAGGTGGTTTTACGTAGATAAGTAAGAATAAAGAATACAGTAGGGGTGAACGTTTCAAGACTTCAACTCACATCAAACATCAGTGATACAAACGTCCCAGTGTTGAGCCGAAGACGGTAATGCGACTCGGTAATGCATAATTATTTTATGCTTATATGTGACCCAATGTCACGTTAGATCTGATTTCGGCAGTTTACGTAGTTCGCTATTAATATAAGACAATAATGGAAAAGAGAAAAATCTTAAATGAATTACTATTGATGTTGTGAATTCGTTACGTGTCCTCGGTTAATAGAAAAATTACAACTATTCTTTTTTTCGCAGCCAACGTCGTAGTAGAATCGTTGTACAGATCTTGCAACGAATAGCTCGCGCTAACTTTAATTGGCTTTAGTCATCTCGCTTAATTAAGAGTACAAGACCTCAATGCAGGTTTCTCGAATACCTTCGACTGGTAGGAAATTGACGCCTAGTCAAATCTTCCACTGCGTGGCGTGCGTACTTCATACTATATCCCTCCAATCGTTTTCTTATTTCGCTATCCTCGCTTGACTTAGACCGTGGATATAAATAGACTGGCATAGTCGACTGCGTCAATCGCGGAAAGAGCTGCCCGCTTGCATATCAGGAAAATGCAATTTCCGACTTATAAATACGTAATGCCCTATTTTTCTGAAGTGGATACTGTTGCCTGTTCTTTTGTACTGTTTTTTGCTGCAAAGTTTGCTTTCTTCTTGAAACGGTTTTCAAGAGAATTTGCGAAGAGGCATGATTGAATGTCAAAGTTAGATGAAATATTTTATCGTGCTCCATTGTCCCTTTGACGATCTAACGCGAAATGTCCTTCTACGATAGCCGCTATTATTACCTCAATAAATTCACCCTGTGCGCTATCGGCCAGTGGCCGTATCAGAAGCGACTGGAGGCTAACACGATGTTCGCCATCACGTTGTTCATGTTTGGCAGTTTGACGGCCTTAGAGGTGTTTAAAATACGCAAGCCACGTACGATAGCGAGTTAGAGTCGAGACTGATCTTTGTCTGTTCCCGATTCTCCACAGTTTTTGGGCTTGATAAAAGGAATAACGAACCTGAGCATCATCATGGAGAACACGACTCCTTTGTTGGTGAACGGCTTCCTCTTCGTGAAGTTGATTAACTTTTACTTTCAAAAGAGCAAAGTTTGTGCATTATTTTCTGTCGCGCGTAACTATATCTGCTGCGATCGTAATTACCGAACGTGCATTTCTCGTGTCAGATGAAAGAGCTGTTGGTTTACATCGAGGAGCACTGGAAGATCATGTCATCTGGCCCGCAGAATGAAATATTACGGAGCTACGCGGAGCAAAGCAAAGTATGGTTGATAAGATACGCGAGTAAGTAATACTATTACTTCGTAAGAATTTTTATCGCGTTTTTTAATTTGGTATCTTCAATGATATACGTGAATCGTGTGATATTTGAGACTTTCACGGAGTGAAGAAATGCCGAATTTGACTTCCGGGTTCGTAACGTACTTTCGGTGCATTTGTTTACAATTTATCGTGAAAATTTCAGTTTATTTTATGAAGAAAAGAAGCTTGATGTCAGAATTGAAATGTACACGAATTATTAGACATAACTCCACAAAAAACATAATTTCAATCAAAAAGCCGATTTCAGTAATATCTTTCTTGATTTAATGGAGTTAATTATTGTGATGAACATCACGAAATAGCTTACAGCTTGTAAGGGAGATACGAATTCTTTATAGTGTCCCTTTATCTATTGGGTCACTTCTATAGCTTAATGCCCTACGCCGTAAGCGGTATATACTGGTTTCTGCCGAACGTGACCTACTCGGCCAGATTTTTATATCGTCTGGAGCATGTTTTCGACATTGAGAAATACTTCCATTTGCTCGTGTTTCATCTCTACATTGGCCTGATGTTTATGCTGACGGTGGCAATAGCGGTTGACAGCATGTTCTTAATGTGCATTCAGCATGTTTGCGCGCTGTTTGAGATCATACGGTGAGTTGCTCTAAAAATAATTTATCTCATTGAAATTGAAAATGCATGTCAACCCGAGAAGTTGGACCTTCCAATATTCTTTTACTATTGTGGACATATTTACTTTAGACAGAAGGTGTCATATGGATTTCTCATCAATTTTGACTGGCTTTGAGTATATGCAGATCAATTAGAAGTATAACACACGTTTTGGTACTATCCCGTTAGTTCAAAGTAACCCTTAAGGGTTAAAATAATCTTATTAAATCTTTACATTTTCATCATCGAGCTCTGCAAGAACATTTTAAACATTATTTTTAAATATAGTTTAAATATGGTTTTCAAATATTTATTTAAAATAAAACTAATTACTGCTTTATCAAAAGTTATTATTATTATTATATTTTTATACTAAAATTGTTGAGGAATGCTTTCATATGTTTCCTTGCTAAAGAGTATTATATGCTCTTGAAGTTGTAATCCTTTTCATATCTTGTATTTCTATTAATTAGCTACAACATTGAACATATACAAGAACCGGATGTCATAATACTTAGGCCGCATATAGAGTACGACAAACCATACCAAGTAATAATCAATTGCATCAAAATCTACAATAGTGCCTATGAGTTAGTAGCAGTGCTGTTTTAATGCTAGATAAATTTTTCGCACAAATTTACTCGAGAAGAAATAATGGGTTTCGTATAACAAGTTTATATATGTGTGTATGTGTGAGTTTATATGTGTGAGTCTGATATACTATTTATCATAGATATATTTATATAAATGTTATTTTTACGTTGCTCATAAAAATAAAATCAGAATAACATATTTATTGAGACAGCTCAAAATTGAGTGGTTCTTTGCCATTATATGTGTTTATATGTATGTTAGTTTTGCTCTTGTCATATGAAACACCTCAAATCTTTTCGAACTTTTGTATACACTTTATTTGACATATTGCACTAATATTTTATGCAATGATCGTAGCTTCGGTACCTTACATATGTGTATGACTTTATATTAGATTATATATATACATATTTAGTTATATATTTATATATATAAGGTTGAACTAATCATGTGTTAAATTTTATTAAACAATATGACTGCTAATATGACCGTATGTTTCGCCGTTTTACCGAAAGATTCTCCGAACTGCTCTCGTCCAGTTTCGAAATGTCTTACTTCTTTCTGCTAGGAAATGTAATTCTGTCTTTAAGTTTCTGCATGGCTGAGGTGAATATCCGACAAGCTGAAAAGGCTGAGACGCTTGTGTTTTCGTTTCACTTAATTAATAAATACCTATTATTCAAGATGATAATGGTGGATGTCCAGTTGGATGAGGTCATCAGAATCCTTGCTAACAGTGTGGGTCAGTTAGTGCATATATATTACATCAGTTTTATATCTCAACGATTGATCGACTACAGTAGCGAGCTTCACGAAGTAATGTATGTGCATTTCTTGACAAATGATATCAAGCTGAAATTTACACTCGTTTCCGTGTCTAAATAAATGGATTCGGATGAGTGGAGAAAAACGCAAAAGTTTTGTTGTTCTACTTATGTGTGATATAATTATTCGAACGATATTTGGAAATAAATGTTATCATTTGTTATTTGAAATTATTACGTTAAATGCAATTACAGTTACAGCTGCAACTGGTATACGACCTCTATACGATCCAGACAATTATTACAATTAACGTTATTGCGTGCCATGAAACCGTGTAAAATAAAAGCAGGCAAGATATATGTGTTGTCAATGGAGAACTTCAGCTCGGTATGTGTATAAATATAACACAGTGTTTCTCGTCGCTTATTCACAGTGACAATACATTTTTACGACGTGCTTTTCAGATTATACAAGTTTCCTTGTCTTACTTCACTATGCTCACTTCACTCCAATAGTTTCTTACGCAACTCAGGATCATGCAAAATGTTTGTTTTATTAAAAGTTTAGGTGTGTGGATAAATCGTTCGGATATAATGATGACCAACCTATTTATTTGATACGTTAATTTAAACACTTGTTTCTTGCTCCCTAGTACCGGAAGAATGTATCTTCACATAATGACAAGATGATATAAAATATTTTTCAATTTTCACGTTCGTTTCACAGCTATTTCAGTTATATTTTATGAAAGTGCAATCTAACGTGATAAACGCTGTTGATTATTAATAAATAATCTACTAATAAGCAGTTACTAATAAGTGAACAAAATGAAATATGCGGGGTAATAATTGAGAATAAGTGTGTATGTACATAATATTCTTGTGCTTGTTTAACAAAGTGAACCATGTCGCGTTACTAACCGGCCACCAAATCGGCTTGCCGTAAGACAGAAGTGCCCGAATATGTGCCTAATCTTAGACAATTTTAGTCTTTAAATACAAATATTTAAACTTTCAACATAAAATATATCTCAAGGTATTAAATATGTAAATATATTCTATATTGGAAGTTTAAATATTCGTATTTAAAAAAAAGATCAAAATAATAAGCATGTTCAAAATTAGATTCGGAAATTAATATCTTGACCTTATTAATATCTTGTTTCTTTCCCATTTCAATGAAAACTAGAAGAGTACTACGCGTGTTATGTATCAAATACACTTGGTTTGTTATTTACTTTAAAACCTGCGTATATACCAGTGACAGAGATATGCTGCGCCGATTATCAATGTAACAATAACTGTATGTATGCAGACCGCAGAAATTAGTTGTAATTAACGGGTGATTTTATCTGCAAACGTATTTATTATCACTGAAAAAGATAAACTCTTTGTTGTAAGTAAATTTTAATAATAATACTGATTTAATCTTAAAAATATTTTATTAATTAGCGACCGTTTGACTGTCTTTTTAATATAACCATCTGGTTACAATACTGTTACACCGTGGAACGATAATAGTTCAGACAACGACTTAAATGATATGCATCTATAATGTATATTCAATTTCGCCGAGTGTATGTTACTTTTGCTTTGGCGCTAAACATTACTCTTGACCAGCACTTGTATCATAGGTTGGTAACGGCTTGTTGGTGAAATTATCATTCACGCAAGTAGGCAGCCAATGTACATTTTACCTAGGTGACTTTATGTAGGTAAGTAAGAATGAATGAGGTAAGGATAGTGATAATAACATGTAAGATAGTTTTACGTAGATAACTAAGAGTAAAGAATACAGATGGGGTAAACGTTATTTAAGACTTCAACCCATTTCAAATATCAGTGATACAAACGTCCCAGTCTTGCTCCGAAAACGGTAATGTGACTCGAGCATAATTATTTTATGTTATACCTGAATTCGGCAATTTACGTGGATCACAATTAACACAAGACAATAATCGAAGAGAGAAAAGTCTTAAATGAGTTACTATTGATTCTGTGCATTCTCTACGTGTCTCCTGTTAATAAAAAAAATTGCTGCTCTTTTTTTCGCCAACGTCGCAGTAGAATCGTTGTACAGATCTTGCAAATAGCTCGCGCTAGCTCTTATTGGCTTTAGTCATCTTGCTTAATTAAGAGTAGACAAGAACTCAATGTAAATTTCTCGAATACCTTTGACTGGTTTAAAGAAATTGGCGCCTAGTCTCATCTTCCACTGCGTGGCGTGCGTACTTCGTACTATATCCCTCCAATTGTTTTCTTATTTCGCTATCCTCGCTTGACTTAGACCGTGGATATAGATAGACTGGCATAGTCGACTGCGTCAATCGCGGAAAGAGCTGCCCGCATCTCAGGAAAATGCAATTTCCGACTTATAAATACGTAATGCCCTATTTCTCTGAAGTGGATACTACTGCCTATACTTTTGTACTGTTTTTTGCCGCAAAGTTTGCTTTCTTCTTGAAACGGTTTTCAAGAGAATTTGTGAAGAGGCATGATTGAATGTCAAAGTTAGATGAAATATTTTATCGTGCTCCATTGTCCCTTTGACGATCTAACGCGAAATGTCCATCTACGATAGCCGGTATTATTATCTCAATAAATTCACCCTGTCCGTTATCGGCCAGTGGCCGTATCAGACGCGACTGGAGGGTAATACGATGTTCGGCATCACGTTGTTCATGTTTGGCAGTTTGACGGCCTTAGAGGTGTTTAAAATACGCGAGACACGTACGGTAGTGAGTAAGAGTCGAGACTGATCTTTGTGTGTTCCTAATTCTCCACAGACTATGGGCTTGATAAAGGGAATAACGAACATAAGCATTTTCATGGAGAACATGTCCCCTTTGCTGGTAAACGTCACCCTTTTCGGGAAGTTGATCAACTTTTACTTTCAAAAAAGCAAAGTTTGTACATTATTTTCTGTTGCGTGTAACCTACTGCGACCGTAATTATCGAATTACCGTGCATTTCTCGTGTCACAGATAAGAGAACTTCTGAATTATATTGAGCAGCACTGGAAGATGATGTCATCCGGCCGGCAGAATGAAATATTACGGAGTTACGCGGAGCAAAGCAAAGTATGGTTCATAAGATACGCGAGTAAGTAATACTATTACTTCGTAAGAATTTCCATCGCGTTTTTTAATTTGGTATCTTCAACAATATATATGAATCGCATGATATTTGGAACTTTCGCGGCGTGAAGAAATACCGAATTTGACATCCCGGTTCGTAATGTATGTTCTGTGGATTTATTTATAATTTTTGATGAATATTTCAGTTTATTTCATGAGCAAGAAAAATCTGATGAAAGAATTGAAATGTTCACGAATTGTTAGACATAACTCCAAGAAAAACATAGTTTCAATCAAAATGCCGCGTCCAGTATTAATATCTTTCTTGATTTAATGGAGTTAATTATCGTGATAAACACCATAAAGCAGGTTACAGCTTGTAAGGGAGATACGAATTCCTTACAGTGGCTATTTATCTAATGGGGCACTTATATTGCTTAATGCCTTACGTCGTAAGCGGTATATACTCGTTTCTGTCGAACGTGACCTACTCGGCCAAATTTTTATATCGTCTGGAGCATGTTTTCGACGTTGACAAATATTTCCATTTGCTCGTGTTTCACCTCTACATTAGCTTGATGTTTATGTTGACGGTGGCAGTAGCGATTGACAGCATGTTCTTAATATGCATTCAGCATGTTTGCGCGCTGTTTGACATCATACGGTGAGTTGCTCTAAAAATCACTTATCTCATTGAAACTGAAAATACATGTCAATCCAAAAACTTTGGCCTTCCAATCTTCCTTTGCTATTGTGGAGATATTTACTTCAGACAGAAGTTGTCATATGGATTTCTCGTCAATTTTGACTGGTTTTGAGTATATGCAGATTAATTAAAAGTGTAACACACATTTTAGTACTATCTCGTTAATTTAAACTAACCCCTAAGGGTTAAAGTAATCTTATCAAATCTCTACATTTTCATCATCGAGCTCCGGAAGAACATTTTAAATATTATTTTTAAATAGAGTTTAAATATGGTAAATATTTATTTAAGATAAAACTAATTTATCAAAAATTACTACTACTTTATCAAAAATTATTATTATTATTATTATATTATTATACTAAAATTGTTGAGAGATGCTTTTACATGTTTCCTTGCTAAAGTGTATTATATGCTTTTGAAGTTTTGTATAATCCCTTTCGTATATAATATCTTGTATTTTTATTAATTAACCACAGCTTTGAACATAAACAAGAACCGGATGTCATAATACTTAAGCCGCATATAATCTGATTACATCTTTACATTTTCATCATGAAACACTGAAAGATTTTCTAAACATTATTTTTAAATATAGTTTAAATATGATTAATATAATTTAATATAAATACATTTTTAAATATTTATTTAAGCTAAAGCTAATTACTATTATCGAAAATTATTATTATTATATTATTAAACTAAAATTGTAGAAGGATACTTTCATGTTTCGTTCCTAACAAATATACGCTGAAGTTGTAGTTTTTTTTGTATATGATATCTTATATTTCTGTTGATTAGCTATAACATTGAACATATACAAAACACGGAGGTCATAATACTTAAGCCAAATGTACTGTACGACGAACCATATCATGTAATAATCGATTGCATCAAAATCTACAATAGGGCCTACGAGTTAGTAGCAGTGCTGTTTTATGCTAGATACATCTTTCGCACAATTTTACTCAAGAAGAAATAATAGGTTTTCTATAACAAGTTTGTATGTGTGTGTATGTGTGAGTATGCTATATATTTATTATAGATATATTTATATAAATGTTACAGTTACTCATAAAATGTTACGTTGCTCATAAAAATAAGATCTTCAGAATAACATATTTATTGAAACAGCTAGAAATTTACTTTTACTATTTTATATGCTTATATGTGTGTTGGCTTTGCTCTTGTTATATGAAACACCTCAAATATTTTCCAACTTTCGCATACATTTTATTTGACATATCGCATTAATCTTTATGCAGTGTACGTAGCAATGGTGCCTTATATATGTATGTAACTTTATATTAGATCATATATATACATATATACATAAATATATATACATACATATATATATATATATATATATATATACATATTTATTTATATATTTATATAGATAACGTAAAACTAATCACACCTTAAATTTTATTAAGTAACACGACTGTGTTTCGTCATTTTATTTAAAGATTCTCCAAACTCCTATCGTCCAGTTTCGAAATATCTTACTTCTTTCTGCTAGGAAACACAATCACATGTTTGAGCTTTAGTATGGCTGAGGTGAATATGCGACAAATTGAAAAGATCGAGACGCTTGTGTTTTCGTTTCACTTACTTAAATATTTATTATTCAAGTTAATAATGGTGGATGTCCAGTTGGATGAGATCATCAGAATCATTGCTGCCAATGTGGCTCAGTTAGTGCATATATATTACTTGAGTTTCATATCTCAACGACTGATAGACTACAGTAGCAAGCTTCACGAAGTAATGTATGCGATTTCTTGACAAATGATATCGAGCCAAAATTTACACTCGTTTTCGTGTCTAAATAAATGGATATAGGCAAATGAGGACTTTACGCAAAAGTTTTGTTGTTCTATTTACGTGCGATACAATTATTTAAGCAGTATTTGGAAATAAGTGTTCTGACTTGTTATTTGAAATTATTACGTCGAATGCAATTACAGTTATAGCTGCAACTGGTATACGACCTCAAAGCAATCTAGACAGTTGTTACTATTTACATTATTGCGTTTTATGAAACCGTGCCAAATAAAAGCAGGCAAGATATATGTGTTGTCGATGGAGAACTTCAGCTCGGTATGTGTATAAATATAACACACTGTTTCTCGTCGCTTATTCACAATGACAATACATTTTTACGACGTACTTTTCAGATTATACAAGTTTCCTTGTCTTACTTCACCATGCTTACTTCACTCCAGTAGTTTCTTACGCAACTCAGGATCATGCAAAAAGTTTGTTTAATTAAAAGCTTGGGTGTATGGATAAAATGTTCGAATATAGTGATGACCAACCTATTTATTTGATACGTTAATTTAAACACTTGTTTCTTGCACGGAAAAAATGTATCTTCACGTAATAACAAGATAATATAAAAAATTTTTCAATTTTTACATTCCTATCTATTTCGGTTACATTTCATAAAAGTGCGATCTAACGTGATGAACGCTGTTGATTATTAATAAATGGTCGCAGTTACTAATAAGCGAACAAGATAAAATGTGTGGGGTAATAAGTGAAAAGAAGTGTGTATATAATATTCTTGTGTTTGTTTAACGAAGTGAACCGCGTCGCGTTACTAACCAAATCGGTTTGCCGTAAGATAGAAGTGCCCAAACATGTTCCTAATCTTAGACAATTTTAGTCTTTAAATACAAATATTTAAACTTGCAACGTAAAATATATCTCAAAGTATTAAGTATGTAAATATATTTTAAGTATGTAAATATATTTTATGGAAATTTAAATATTTGTATTTAAAAAAAAAACCAAAATAATAAGAATGTTTACGATTAGATTCGGGGATTAATATCTTTAGTTTGTTAATATATTGTTTCTTTCCATTTCGATGAAAACTAGAAGAGTACTGTGCGTCCCATGTAACAGATACACTTAGACTATTATTTACTCTAAAACCTACGTATATACCAGTGACAAATATATACTGTGCCGATTATTAATGTAACTATAACTGTATGCGTGCAGAAATTAGTTGTAATTAACGGGTGTTGCTATCTGCAAACGTATTTATTATCACTGAAAAAGATACACTCTTGGTTGTACGTAAATTTTAATAACACTGATTCAATGTTAAAATTATTTTATTAATTAGCGATCGTTTAACCATTCTTTTAATATAACTATCCGGTTATAATGCTGTTACACAAAGGAACGATAATAGTGCAGACAACGACTTAAATAATATGCATTTATAATGTACGTTCAATTTCGCCGTGTGTGTATTACTTTTATTTGTATTTGGCGCTGAGCATTACTCATGACCAGCACTTGTATCACAGATTTTGTAAGGGCTTGTCCGTGAAGTTATCATTCGCACAAGTAGGCAGCCAATGTACATTTTACCATAGGTGACTTTACGTAGGTAAGTAAGAATGAAAGAGGTAAGAATAGTGATAAGAACATATAAAGTGACTTTACGTAGGTAAGTAAGAATGAAGGAGGTAAGAATAATGATAAGAACATGTGAGGTGGTTTTACGTAGGTAAGTAAGAGATAAGAATACAGATGGGGTAAATGTTATTCAAGACTTCAACCCACTTCAAAATATCAGTGATACAAACGTCACAGTGTTGCTCCAAAGACGGTAATGCGATTCGAGCATAATTATTTTATATTATATCTGATGTCACATTATATCTGAATTTGGCAGTTTACGTGGTTCGCAATTAACACAAGACAACAATGGAAGAGAGAAAAGTCATAAATGAGTTACTATTAATCTTGTGAATTCTCTACGTGTCCACGGTTAATAGAAAAATTACAACTATTCTTTTTTTCGCAGCCAACGTCATAGTAGAATCGTTGTACAGATCTTGCAACGAATAGCTCGCGCTAACTTTAATTGGCTTTAGTCATCTCGCTTAATTAAGAGTACACTTGAAAGAACCTAATGTAAACTTCTCGAATAACTTTGACTCGTTTAAGAAAATTGGCGACTGGTTTCATCTTCCACTGCGTGGTGTGCGTACTTCGTACTATATCCCTCCAATCATTTTCTTATTTCGCTATCCTCGCTTGACTTAGACCGTGGATATAGATAGACTGGCATAGTCGACTGCGTCAATCGCGGAAAGAGCTGCCCGCATCTCAGGAAAATGCAATTTCCGACTTATAAATACGTAATGCCCTATTTCTCTGAAGTGGATACTACTGCCTATACTTTTGTACCGTTTTTTGCCGCAAAGTTTGCTTTCTTCTTGAAACGGTTTTCAAGAGAATTTGCGAAGAGGCATGATTGAATATCAAAGTTAGATGAAATATTTTCTCGTGCTCCATTGTCCCTTTGACGATCTAACGCGAAATGTCCATCTACGATAGCCGATATTATTACCTCAATAAATTCACCCTGTCCGTTATCGGCCAGTGGCCGTATCAGACGCGACTGGAGGGTAATACGATGTTCGGCATCACGTTGTTCTCGTTTTGCAGTTTGACGGGCTTAGAGGTGTTTAAAATACGCGAGACACGTACGGTAGTGAGTAAGAGTCGAGACTGATCTTTGTGTGTTCCCAATTCTCCACAGACTTTGGGCTTGATAAAGGGAATAACGAACATAAGCATTTTCATGGAGAACATGTCCCCTTTGCTGGTAAACAGCTTCCTTTTCGGGAAGTTGATCAACTTTTACTTTCAAAAAAGCAAAGTTTGTACATTATTTTCTGTTGCGTGTAACCTACTGCGACCGTAATTATCGAATTACCGTGCATTTCTCGTGTCACAGATAAGAGAACTTCTGAATTACATTGAGGAGCACTGGAAGATGATGTCATCCGGCCCGCAGAATGAAATATTACGGAGCTACGCGGAGCAAAGCAAAGTATGGTTCATAAGATACGCGAGTAAGTAATACTATTACTTCGTAAGAATTTCCATCGCGTTTTTTAATTTGGTATCTTCAACAATATATATGAATCGCATGATATTTGGAACTTTCGCGGCGTGAAGAAATACCGAATTTGACATCCCGGTTCGTAATGTATGTTCTGTGGATTTATTTATAATTTTTGATGAATATTTCAGTTTATTTCATGAGCAAGAAAAATCTGATGTAAGAATTGAAATGTTCACGAATTGTTAGACATAACTCCAAGAAAAACATAGTTTCAATCAAAATGCTGCGTCCAGTATTAATATCTTTCTTGATTTAATGGAGTTAATTATCGTGATAAACATCATAAAGCAGGTTACAGCTTGTAAGGGAGATACGAATTCCTTACAGTGGCTATGTATCTAATGGGGCACTTATATTGCTTAATGCCTTACGTCATAAGCGGTATATACTCGTTTCTGCCGAACGTGACCTACTCGGCCAGATTTATATATCGTCTGGAGCATGTTTTCGACGTTGAAAAATATTTCCATTTGCTCGTGTTTCACCTCTACATTAGCTTGATGTTTATGTTGACGGTGACAGTAGCGATTGACAGCATGTTCTTAATGTGCATTCAGCATGTTTGCGCGCTGTTTGACATCATACGGTGAGTTGCTCTAAAAATCACTTATCTCATTGAAACTGAAAATACATGTCAATCCAAAAACTTTGGCCTTCCAATCTTCCTTTGTTATTATGGAGATATTTACTTCAGACAGAAGTTGTCATATGGATTTCTCGTCAATTTTAACTGGTTTTGAGTATATGCAGATTAATTAAAAGTGTAACACACATTTTAGTACTATCTCGTTAATTTAAACTAATCCCTAAGGGTTAAAGTAATCTTATCAAATCTCTACATTTTCATCATCGAGCTCCAGAAGAACATTTTATATATTATTTTTAAATAGAGTTTAAATATGGAAAATTATTAGAGTTTAGGTATGGTAAATATTTATTTAAGATAAAACTAATTACTACTTTATCAAAAATTATTATTATTATTATATTATTATACTAAAATTGTTGAGAGATGCTTTCATATGTTTCCTTGCTAAAGTGTATTATATGCTCTTGAAGTTTTGTATAATCCCTTTCGTATATAATATCTTGTATTTTTATTAATTAACCACAGCTTTGAACATAAACAAGAACCGGATGTCATAATACTTAAGCCGCATATAATCTGATCACATCTTTACGTTTTCATCATGAAATACTGAAAGATTTTCTAAACATTATTTTTAAATATAGTTTAAATATGATTAATATAATTTAATATAAATAAATTTTTAAATACTTATTTAAGCTAAAGCTAATTACTATTATCGAAAATTATTATTATTATATTATTAAACTAAAATTGTAGAAGGATACTTTCATGTGTTTCGTTCCTAACAAATATAATACGCTGAAGTTGTAGTTTTTTTTGTATATGATATCTTGTATTTCTGTTGATTAGCTATAACATTGAACATATACAAAACACGGAGGTCATAATACTTAAGCCAAATGTACTGTACGACGAACCATACCATGTAATAATCGATTGCATCAAAATCTACAATAGGGCCTACGAGTTAGTAGCAGTGCTTTTTTATGCTAGATACATCTTTCGCACAATTTTACTCAAGAAGAAATAATAGGTTTTCTATAACAAGTTTGTATGTGTGTGTATGTGTGAGTATGCTATATATTTATTATAGATATATTTATATAAATGTTACAGTTACTCATAAAACGTTACGTTGCTCATAAAAATAAGATCTTCAGAATAACATATTTATTGAAACAGCTAGAAATTTACTTTTACTATTTTATATGCTTATATGTGTGTTGGCTTTGCTCTTGTTATATGAAACACCTCAAATATTTTCCAACTTTTGCATACATTTTATTTGACATATCGCATTAATCTTTATGCAGTGTACGTAGCAATGGTGCCTTATATATGTATGTAACTTTATATAAGATCATATATATACATATATACATAAATATATATACATACATATATATATATATATATATATATATATATATTTATTTATATATTTATATAGATAACGTAAAAATCACACCTTAAATATAGATAACGTAACTAATCACATCTTAAATTTTATTAAGTAACACGACTGTGTTTCGTCATTTTATTTAAAGATTCTCCGAACTCCTATCGTCCAGTTTCGAAATATCTTACTTCTTTATGCTAGGAAACACAATCATATGTTTGAGCTTTAGTATGGCTGAGGTGAATATGAGACAAATTGAAAAGCTCGAGACGCTTGTGTTTTCGTTTCACTTAATTAAATATTTATTATTCAAGTTGATAATGGTGGATGTCCAGTTGGATGAGATCATCAGAATCATTGCTGCCAATGTGGCTCAGTTAATGCATATATATTACTTGAGTTTCATATCTCAACGACTGATAGACTACAGTAGCAAGCTTCACGAAGTAATGTATGCGATTTCTTGACAAATGATATCGAGCCAAAATTTACACTCGTTTTCGTGTCTAAATAAATGGATATAGGCAAATGAGGACTTTACGCAAAAGTTTTGTTGTTCTATTTACGTGCGATACAATTATTTGAGCAATATTTGGAAATAAGTATTCTGACTTGTTATTTGAAATTATTACGTCGAATGCAATTACAGTTATAGCTGCAACTGGTATACGACCTCAAAGCAATCTAGACAGTTGTTACTATTTACATTATTGCGTTTTATAAAACCGTGCCAAATAAAAGCAGGCAAGATATATGTGTTGTCGATGGAGAACTTCAGCTCGGTATGTGTATAAATATAACACACTGTTTCTCGTCGCTTATTCACAATGACAATACATTTTTACGACGTACTTTTCAGATTATACAAGTTTCCTTGTCTTACTTCACCATGCTTACTTCACTCCAGTAGTTTCTTACGCAACTCAGGATCATGCAAAAAGTTTGTTTAATTAAAAGCTTGGGTGTATGGATAAAATGTTCGAATATAGTGATGACCAACCTATTTATTTGATACGTTAATTTAAACACTTGTTTCTTGCTCCCTAGTACGGAAAAAATGTACCTTCACGTAATAACAAGATAATATAAAAAATTTTTCAATTTTTACATTCCTTTCATATCTATTTCGGTTACATTTCATAAAAGTGCGATCTATTCTAATCTCTCGATGAAAACTAGAAGAGTGCTACGCGTGTCACATAATAGATACACTTATACTGTCATTTACCTTAAAACCTGCGTATATGACAGAGACATCGGCTGCACCGATTATCAAGGTAACGATGATCCGTGTGGACGGACAGATGCGACCCTTTTCTCGTAAAATGTCGACAACTTACTTCTCTCAATGTATCTCTTGCTTCGCGATTAAAGCTAAATGAAAACGGTACGCAGTGAAAAGGATAATACAGGCTAACTTCTCTCATTATGCTTTACAGTTGGGCAATTTGCATGTACATCAAGTGTAATCGACCGCGCACTTTCCGCGATATACCGTCATCAACCATGCAAATTTCCGTTTGCCGCTTTGCGTGGCTGTTCTCCAAGAGAATACGAGATAACGTTGTATTTTCCGTCGAACCGATTTCGGCTACGGAGAATTTTGCAGGCGCACTCTGGCTATCGGTAGCGCGCCAGAATGGACGCGGAGAATTATAAAATCAATCGGTACGCTATGTCGTGGGTCGGTCTATGGCCCGACCAGGCCAGGTTCAACAAATTTTTCCTCTCTTTTAATCTCATCATCGCAGTTGGCAGTCAGCTTTGCTTGCAGGTTAGCCGGCTGAACTGACGAACAGCTGATTAACGATTTCGGAAGAGATCCTTAATTCGTTCACGCAAGTAGCGCGCACAGCTATATAGCCAAACATCGGATATTATTTATTTCTTTTATCTTTTATTATTAATTTCCCGTGACTTAAAACCAACTGTGGGATGTGTCGCGAGTACTGTTTGCCTAAGTTGCTCTACATGTTTCATAATAATTCCCCATTTAAGTGTTCAACATGTTCTCTATCATGGTTAATTTTGGAAATTTTATCTGCAATCACATTACATTTGTTTTTATGTAATTGTGTCAGACAGACTTAGTTTATTTAAGTGCGGATATAAAACGTCGTCGTCATATACATGTAACGTTGGTAGCGAACATATTAAGTAATGTTGAAAATTTCGAGTAAAAATGAACTTGAAGTGAAAGATTGGTGTGTTATATATGTGGAACACTAATAGCGAACGTATTAATATAGATATGATCTTTTATTTCGTAACGAGATATGCAGTTTGGTGATAGCATGGCCGGATTCGGACATTGTCATCGAGTGCACAACCCCTATCATTATTCACACGGCGATTCTCGTCAAGTTTTTCAATTGTCTCTTTAACAATCACAAGGTATGTGAAAAAAAGTTCTCCGTGGTAAAGCACGTATATCACTTAAGATGAAAATAGCCTAAGTGTCAATGCCTAGACTAGCTAATGACTACACGAAGAAAAATAATTTGCTGGCCCAGCAAATTTTCTGGTGGTCTAGCAAAATTTTTTCGTTATTATATGGACAGCAAAAAGATTTGCTAAGAGTACTAATCATTATTTACTGAATATAATTTGCTGAATCTACAAATTATTTTGCTATAAGAATCACGATGAATTTATATAAGCAGTTGCAGTTTTGCTCTGATAGTAAATAAATTTGCTAAGGATACATTATTTTGCATCAATAGCAAATTAACGTGATTCTTAAGACGAATACACTCAACAAATATTTTCTATCGTGCTAAACTACTTCTGCTCTGATAACGAATAATTTGTAAAATTAGTTACGTCAACTAAATTTTTTTGATGTCACTATGAATATAAGTAGCAATGACGATTTTGCTAAAAGAGCAAAATTATTTTTCTCCGTGTGCCTAATTCTGAACATTTTTATTGTTTTAGTTTTTAAATGTTCAACGTAGAATACTCGTACGTAGAAAACGTAATCTACTCGACGAAATCTTTCGTTTGAGCTATTGCTCAATGTGAATATAAGGGAACGTTTCTTTTAACTTTGGTGGCCTTCTTTGGTGCACTGAAAAATTAATATTCTTGTTTTTAGAAAAATCCTCTAAAATAGGCGCCAAGTATAAATATATTCTAAATATAAAATTTATTCCTCTTGTTTTGAGAAACTTTTCTCTCTGTGTACAGAATTTTCTCTCAAAACAAGAGGAATAAATCTTATATTTAGAATATTTTATAATTGGCGCCTATTTTAGAGGATTTTTCTAAAAACAAGAATATTAATTTTTCATTGTGAACAAACTAACGCCCCAAGAAAATAAATATTACTACATTTTTTTTCTCATAAAAAGCTGAGAGGAATAGGATAGATGCAAATAAAGATTGCTTTGATCATGTCGGTAGTATATTCGTTGTCAGTATAATGCGTGCTATCTACACTATAAGTCTTGAGTCTCTTTTTGAACACATTATATGTACTACTGTATGGTAAAAGTTTAAATATTGGTATTTTAAAAGACTAAAACAATAAAAATGTCTAGTGTTAGATATTATGTCATTAAAGTCCAGGTATTGGTACTTCTATCTTATGATATATCATATTGCACGAATTTAAGCAGATCAAGAGTCTTTTGGTTCAAATGAGGGATAACTGGAATTTGGCAACATTCGACGCTCAGGTGCGAATTTTAACGTACATGGACGAAGGCAAGAAACTGATCAAGGCGTACTCAGGTGAGACACCTCGAGAGGTATACTTGGAACGTTCCCTTCGAGTGGAATTTGATATTCGCGCTTGTATTTTCGCATCCAAATTTTTAAGTGCGCGGTAATGTTCTCTCTTAAAGTGAATCAGTGAATAGTTACTGATATTAGTTATAAATATAGCACTGAGCACTTTCAGTGCAACACTTGTAACTGCAAATCAGTGTATATTCACTGTTTTCAGTGATGTTTCACTGATTCATTTTAAGAGAGTTAGTTAAATGATACTCAGAAATTCCCCTCTACCTTAACAGCTATAATATATGGCAGCATGTTCATGTACATGATTTTACCCGTCACACCGTCCATCATAGCGTTTTTTGCGAACGCCAATCAGACACAAATGTACGGCGTAATCTACCACGCGGAGACGATCTTCGACGTGAAGAAATACTACTACTTCATCCTACTGCATTCTTATTATACCACTTTCTTTTTGATGACCATTCCGGTGGCGACGGACTCCATGTTGATAATTTACGTGCAACACGCCTGCGGTCTTTTCGAGGTCATAGGGTATGTATACTCATACGAACGCAGAAAATCATGGTGATACTCTGCTATGAATGTATATATTACAAAGACGAAATTCTATTTTTATGGTAGTGTTTATTCAAAAAGAAGCGCGCACCGAAATCGCAAAAACGGGACGAATTTCTGAAAATATTGTCTTGTGAAAATAATCTGAACCTCATTGTTAGAAAAGTTCTTAAAAATAATAGCATTTTTATAAGTAAATTTAAGAATTTAATATTAAAATTAATGATAGTAAAGATTTTCATAACATTAGGATTATGGATTAGTTTCATATTTCTTATAAAATCTAATATTTTGTATCTTATATTCCATGTTTTCTTATTAAATTTCATATTAAATTATGAAATATTATAACATGTTATGATATGTTAGAATAATTTTTCTAATTTATCATAAATACGAGGCTGTTTCGGTCTCGTGGCCTAAAAGATTCAGCTTGTGAAGCATTGTTTCTTTATTGAGATTTCAACAAAGCTATCCAGAAGTCTCTTAATCAATTCTAATTATGATTCTAATTATGATCAATTCTAATTATGATTCTAATTATGATTTTTCATAACTATGTGTTATTAAATATAATATTGCTTTTACTATTACTTTTTATAACATAGTTATATAAAAAAACTTCACATTCCAGTTATTAAATTTAATATGAAGTTTTCTAACAGTACTGATTATCGAGAAATATCTGAATTTTCCAAAGTACAACTTTTTCCTGGAAAGTTACAATTAAAATACTTTCTCTCTTTCTTTCTCTTTGGATATCGAGACAATCTCCCGAAATACTTTGAGACATTTTTATAATTTTGCCTAGATATGAATTGGAAAATATGAAACAGGATGACAACATCTACATTAACGCTTACCCGCGACACGAGGACGACGAGAATTATCGTATAATTAGCAACAGCGTCGCGAAGCACGTAAAAGTTTTACAGTAGGTGTTCTCGACACACCGAGGGCAAATCGATTTTACCATTGAAATATCAATTACCTAATTTGACGGGATTTGAACTCGAATAAGAGAGACGACAGCTACGTGACGAAGTGACGTGCCGTCACTTTCTTATAAATCTCGGCAATATCCAATATGTCTTATCGTTCTAGGTTTGCTAAATTATTTGCGTCTACATATAGCATATCTTTGTTTATAATGACGTTACTAAACACAGTATTCATAGCATTCAGCGGAATACAGGTTCGTACTAATATCACCAAAACGACGGTGTCCCTAAATGGCTTATGTCTGTTTCTATCAACATCGATTAAACTTTAACCTGAATTTAAACTCTACTCAAGCAAAGACAAACTCAGGTTAAGGTTTAATCGACGCTAGTAGAAATGGGCATTGGTAGTTTGTTTTTCTCCGCAATTAGGTGGTGATCAACATGGATCGACCTTTGGAGGCATTAAGATTCACGGTTGCGGGTTTGTGTTTGGTCTTGCATTTTCTCTTTCTCAGCCTGCCAGGTCAGAAATTGATAGACCATAGTTCCAAAGTACATGAATCCATGTGAGTATAATGCGAGTATACTGAGTTCCAACAAAGCCTTAACATTTATTAAGGCTCACTAATCGTTCTAACCCTTCGCATTGTATTTGAATAAGCGTATATATATTTTGGTGTAGTTTATTTGATTAATCTGTCATTTTGACAGTTTGATATATATATATATATATATATATATATATATATATATA